AAATTAGTATCAACCATTAATATCAGTATCTTTATTAATTTTCAAAGTTCAGTTGTAAAATCCGGGCAAGAATGTTATACATTTTTCATACTTCCTCTAATGTTGCTTTAGAATCCAAAGACCTAATGGCCACATATGAATAAGCTTTCTCGTTGTTTTAGAGCCATATTAAGGTGCTCTGTCTCTAAGATATCTGAATGAATTTGTTGATAGGTGTGATACAGAATCTCCTTTGCCATAGCACCTCATATTAGAATTCCTCAAAGTGGAAGTTAAATTAGGTCTATACTTGATGTTTATGGTGATTTACTGGATGTACAGTATATGGTTATCGATCTCACATAAAGTAATTTTGGGCATTAATATAATAAAAACATCATTACAAAAACAAAATAAAAAACTGACATCCCATCGAAAGAATAATGGCCATCAAATACGGTATAAGCCAATTAAACAACACTTTCATACAACCACTGATCTGACCTGTGCCTGAAAATTAAGCCTAGTCTTAATAATTTTGCAGAAAACAAGGCTAGTCTAACCAGATCTTCCAAAAGAAAGTGCTGCTACAGAGAAGGTATGCTTTCTGGGTCCCTCCAAGTGATACTTCTTAATCAACAGGACTTTGAGCATTGCCCTTTTGCAAGTTCTCATGGGGTAGGTAGATGCAACTGGGGGGAAAAAATGGTCCTTCAAATAAAGCTCCATGCTATAAAGGACTTTATGGGTAGCAATGAGCATCTTGAATTGTCTGCAGAAGTCTACTGGGAGCTAGTGCAACTCATGACCCAAAGATCTACTATAAGAGTACTGATGTATACCCATAATTGTTCACACTGCTGCATTCTGGACGAATTGAAGCTTTGTGTTCATCAAGAATAGACCCATATAGAATATGGGCAAAAGCCCGAGTTGACTATCTACCTCCTGATCCGGGAATAAGTGCATGCTCTTTAGAAGGCCAAATTTTTCACTATTTAGAAAATAGTGAAAACATTCTTGTTCTGTCAATTTTTAATGAGAAATTAGCTTATTCATATTAGCTGATTTCATGCATTACAATAAGACAAGAATGTTTTTTCAAAGACAAAGAATAACGCACTTGATTGATTACCACTGGTATTTCCATGCTGTTTCAATCAAGTGTATCTAAATAAGTAACAGTATAATAAGGTCAAGGACAATCTAGCAAATCATAGGCTTTAATTCCATTCTAGTTCTATAAAATTATAGTAAATAATAGCGCCCTATACCTCCTAGGTTTCAAATTATCGGATCTTTGTCATAAAATGTTTGTTTGAATAACTAACCTTTTAACAACTTACTGAATATTAAGAGGATGCAGTTCATATCAATAAAAGTAGCAGGCATTGTCTCCTGCCACAATTCACAGGGATGGGCATTCTTAACACACTTTGGGTAGGAATATTGTATTTCAAACAAGCATCTCACATCTTAAGCCATGTAGGATTTTATACATTTTTATAAGCATCTTGAATTGCACTCAATGACAAATTGGTAACTAATACAGTTTAGTGACTATATGAACCATCACTAAATACAGTTTAGTGGCTATATGAATCATCTGCAGTTTCCAGGTGATATTTAGGTACAATCCCAGATAAAGCAAAATACGGAAGTTGAATAATGAGATGACAAGTTATGAATAACCATAATCAAGTCTCCTAGTCCTAAATGGTCATAACCAGAGCACCAGCCTAAACTGGGCAAAATCACAGTTCCAGCCTATTTAATTGAGCTGATTTAATTCAGAAAACACTTTCCAAATAATGAACCTGAAGAGGGAGCTTTTTATTTTTAGCTTTATATTTTAAAATTACGACTCCGCTGTTAAAGACGCTGAATTTGTCAGCTGCAAAGCTGACAGGCTAAGGTTTGAGGCTGTTCAAGGGTTGAGCTCCTGTTACTTGCCCCAGCTCCCGCCCACTTAGCAGTTCAAAAGCATGCAAATGTGAGTAGATAAATAGGTACCACTTCAGTAGGAAGGTAACAGCATTCCGTGCACCTCAGCGTATAGTCAGGCTGGCCACATGAACACGACAAAAGTGTCTTTGGACAGCACTGGCTCCCTTGGCTAAGAAACAGAGATGAGCGCCATCCCCTAGAGTCGGATACAACTGGACAAGGGAAACCTTTACCTTACCTTTTACATTTTCATCACAAAACAAGAGCTGTTACTTCCAAGGTCCAGAATACATAAAGTCCCAAAAGCAGACTTTGGGCCATTTCCATTTTATGTTGTAAAAAAGCAGGCATTCTGGCAAGAAGACAAAATGATTATATGGCTTACAAAGGGACGATCTGAAATAGAAAAACGAGATCGGAAAACTATGCAATTGTTGCTTTGAAAAAAGGAAAAAGCCAAGAAACAGTTGCCCCTTTCTTGCCAATGACCACATGAAAATCTTATTTATAACAATTCTTCTTTAACTTCCTTTATTTATTTCCAGAGAAAATAAACAACCCCTAACATTCAAATTTATTTTGGAGAAAGGAAAAAAAAGGATAAATACATTTTAATCTATACATACATACATACATACATACATACATACATACATACATACATACATATGTCGTGAAAATGGTACATAAATCCGAGCACCAGGATAAAAATCATAAACAAAACTGTTTAATCTACAAAAGTACTTCCGGATAAGCGAACTCCCGGATCTCGTGTTTTATACTCTGACGATGTCGGTAGTTTGGCCGACGAAAGCTCAGTACTTTTGTAGATTAAACAGTTTTGTTTATGATTTTATCCTGGTGCTTGGATTTATTTACCATTTTCACGACATGTGTATACCCGGGATTCGTGTTTTTAATATAATTAAGGACATATATACATACATACATACATACATACATACATACATACATACATGTAGGTCTTTGGATATTCGGGTTTTCTCCTGCGTAAAATTGGAAGTGTCTTGGCGACGTTTCGACGAAGTCACATTCGTCATCTTCAGGCTGGTGTCTTCAGCTTCGTGCTTCTGGGAGTAGTGTGCGATCGCAGCTGTTTCTTCCTTTTATACATACATATACATACATGTATATGTATGTATACATACATGTATATGTATGTATACATACATATACATACATACATACATACATATAAGCAAGCTGAAATGCTGTCATGTCAAGGCTTTTTTTTAAAAAAATGATAGATTTAAAGGTAGGCAAGGTTGGAAGAATTTATTTAGTCCTGACTTTTGTTTGATGCATTAGAAAAATGATAACAGCCAAAATGTGCAATTGAAAAAGACATTTGGTTTAAAAAAAATTGGCCAGAACATATTGTTTACTTGACTGTGATAAGTCAAGGTATCCTTTGGATTGTTTCATCCTGGTTAACCATTGTGCTTTCCCTGCCTAATTGTTTTGGTACTTGTGTTGTTCTTTGCCACCAAGAGTCATCTTTATTCAGTTCACTTCAAAAGAAGAAGAAAATGTTTCTATTCTATAGCATTCTAAGACTACATTGAAATTCCCTTCAGGGAAAAAAATAATATTATTTTACCTGAACTACCAACTTTTACAGTTTCTATCCCTTTTCTTCTTTTAGTACAATGTTAAAGGTGTTGGCAGAAAGAGAATTATTAAGAAGTAAACTGACATTATAAATATCAAAGGTCATAAAGGAGTGAAAAGAAAAAGTAGCTGTTAGAAATCAAGTTTATATTCCGTAGGGAAATTTTCCTGTATAGTACCTTCAAAAATAACACTTCAGTTTTTAGTCTGCTTATGTTTTAAGGACTATTTTTTTTAAAAAAAAATTGAAAGTGTTATATATGTGGAAGAAGATTTCTTGCCTAAAAAAAATTCTTTCTTCCTGCCTGAGCAGGGGGTTGGACTAGATGACCTTCAAGGTCCCTTCCAACTTTACTATTATTATTATTATTATTATTATTATTATTATTATTATTATTATTATTATTATTATTATTATTATTATTATTATTACTATTACTATTATAACATAAATATAAGTTTGGCATTCAGTTGAGGAACTGTGTCCTTCTCTTCATCATTAGAGAATAATAAAGGGTTTACTCCAAACTCTGGCTGGGGAATTATGGGAGTTGAAGTCCACACATCTTAAGGGTCCCTATTTTGAAAAACATTGCCTGATAACAAGGGCTACGGAGCAAAACAAAGCAAAACCTTAGTCTTAAGATTATATTGCTTCGTGTAATCTATTTGTATTGCTGCCCAATTTTTGGGAGACCATTCGGCCTAAAAGAATTGAGGGAGCCAATGTCTTTTGGAATGGCTTTATTGTTAGTTCATTTTGATGAATAATTTGTTTTATTTAGTGGTATTAGTTTTGTTATTTTAATTACATTAAATGCATTGATTTTATTCTTGTTCTGTTGTTACGTAGTTAGAGACATTGATGGTTCATGATATACTAAGATTATAATAACAACAGCAACAATAGCAATAATAATAAACAAATAATAAATGACTTTCATCTACTGCTGCCAATGCATGTGCTACGATCAGTTGCATCAGTTCTCGGTCAAAGTGATTAAGTGGCTTGTAATTTCAGAGTAAAGTTTCCTTCTTATTTTTATGTGTGAAATAATAGTTGGGTTTCTGTACTGTCTCATTTTAAGTAACAGCTTAAAATATTCTTGTTCAAATGCACCTTGGAAGAATTAGACTTCCTTTCAAATGGATCTTAAATACTCAACATTGTTTTCATTGTTTAGTTTATTATTTGAACTTGTGTTTATTGAGTATTATTTTTAATATTTGTTGTGCATCCTTTGGGGCTACGTCAGATAATAAGAAAAATAATATCATCCATGGTACTTGAGCTGACCGATCACCAATACCTGTAAGTGTAAGTAATAGGAAAAAGCTTAGTGCCCTGTTCTTATGTAGGTCAGTTTAAAAAGCAATCACATTTTCCATGTTATTTTACTGCCATCTAGTGATAGAATTAAATATTTTTTTTTGTCTTTAAGATCAGTATTTTTATGACTCACCTGTCTAATTATGGCAATGATCGATTGGGTTTGTACACCTTTGTCAATCTGGCCAATTTTGTTCAAAGCTGGACCAACCTAAAGCTGCAGACTCTACCTCCATTTCAATTGGCTCACAAATACTTTGAACTCTTTCCAGAGCAAAAGGACCCACTCTGGCAGGTAAGACATGCACTGCAAGAGTCCTGTCGTTTTACCCGCTATAAATTTTAAATTCAGCATATGTAATCAAGTATTATTGATGGAAAGTATATAATGTGTACATGATAAAGAATGAGGTGTTTTCTCTGCTTTATTTTTTATTCCTATTAATGCTGATGTAGTTTTTTTTTCTTTTTTCTTTTTTATTAAAAGTTTTAAATAATTTTCCATACAATATCCCATTTCCCACCCCTCCCCCCCTTCACTTCCCATAGCTGGTTACAGGGTTATAAAAACAAAATCATAAATTAAATAACATTACCCAGATATACTACAATCAAATCCCATCCAAACATACTTTAACTCTACAAAATAGATAGATCTTAACACTTTACCAGCAAAATAATAATATAATTAATAATAATATAATTAAACATTATTACTAAAAATAATATAAATTCATCCATAATAANCCTGGACATTTTTAACTGCTATACTGCAGTTTTTACTTTTACAATATCTTTTACCATGCAGCCCCACAACTAGGGGCGTTAAGCAGGCTCAAGTCGCAACTGCGAAACATTTTTAAATCCAAATTTCTTTTTCTGACAAAGAGTTAAAGAATTAAATCGGGAGACTAAGATGGCCATTTCTAGCTTGTTCTGCTTTCATCAGTTAGCCATACCCTTTATGGGATTCGAACCTGGGCAGTTTACATACTAGGCAGTGATTCAACCACCAAGCCATATACATATACATACATACATACATACATACATACATACATACATACAAGCAAGCTGAAATGCTGTCATGTCAAGGCTTTTTTAAAAAAATGATAGATTTAAAGGTAGGCAAGGTTGGAAGAATTTATTTAGTCCTGACTTTTGTTTGATGCATTAGAAAAATGATAACAGCCATAATGTGCAATTGAAAAAGACATTTGGTTTTAAAAAAATTGGCCAGAACATATTGTTTACTTGACTGTGATAAGTCAAGGTATCCTTTGGATTGTTTCATCCTGGTTAACCATTGTGCTTTCCCTGCCTAATTGTTTTGATACTTGTGTTGTTGTTTGCCACCCAGAATCATCTTTATTCAGTTCACTTCAAAAGAAGAAGAAAATGTTTCTATTCTATAGCATTCTAAGACTACACTGAAATTCCCTTCAGGGAAAAAAATAATACTATTTTACCTGAACTACCAACTTTTACAGTTTGTGTCCCTTTTCTTCTTTTAGTACAATGTTAAAGGTGTTGGCAGAAAGAGAATTATTGAGAAGTAAACTGACATTATAAATATCAAAGGTCATAAAGGAGTGAGAAGAAAAAGTAGCTGTTAAAAATCAAGTTTATATTCCATAGGGAAATTTTCCTATATAGTACCTTCAAAAATAACAGTTCAGTTTTTAGTCTGCTTATGTTTTAAGGACTATTTTTTTTAAAAAAAAAATGAAAGTGTTATATATGTGGAAGAAGATTTCTTGCCTAAAAAAAAATTCTTTCTTCCTGCCTGAGCAGGGGGTTGGACTAGATGACCTTCAAGGTCCCTTCCAACTTTACTATTATTATTATTATTATTATTATTATTATTATTATTATTATTATTATTATTATTATTATTATTATTATTATTACTATTATAACATAAATATAAGTTTGGCATTCAGTTGAGGAACTGTGTCCTTCTCTTCATCATTAGAGAATAATAAAGGGTTTACTCCAAACTCTGGCTGGGGAATTATGGGAATTGAAGTCCATGCATCTTAAGAGTCCCTATTTTGAAAAACACTGCCTGAGAACAAGGGCTACGGAGCAAAACAAAGCAAAACCTTAGTCTTAAGATTATATTGCTTCGTGTAATCTATTTGTATTGCTGCCCAATTTTTGGGAGACCATTCCCTAAAAGAATTGAGGGAGCCAATGTCTTTTGGAATGGGCTTTATTGTTAGTTCATTTTGATGAATAATTTGTTTTATTTAGTGGTATTAGTTTTGTTATTTTAATTACATTAAATGCATTGATTTTATTCTTGTTCTGTTGTTACGTAGTTAGAGACATTGATGGTTCATGATATACTAAGATTATAATAACAACAGCAACAATAGCAATAATAATAAACAAATAATAAATGACTTTCATCTACTGCTGCCAATGCATGTGCTACGATCAGTTGCATCAGTTCTTGGTCAAAGTGATTAAGTGGCTTGTAGATTTCAGAGTAAAGTTTCCTTCTTATTTTTAGGTGTGAAATAATAGTTGGGTTTCTGTACTGTCTCATTTTAAGTAACAGCTTAAAATATTCTTGTTCAAATGCACCTTGGAAGAATTAGACTTCCTTTCAAATGGATCTTAAATACTCAACATTGTTTTCATTGTTTAGTTTATTATTTGAACTTGTGTTTATTGAGTATTATTTTTAATATTCGTTGTGCATCCTTTTGGGCTACGTCAGATAATAAGAAAAATAATATCATCCATGGTACTTGAGCTGACCGATCACCAATACCTGTAAGTGTAAGTAATAGGAAAAAGCTTAGTGCCCTGTTCTTATGTAGGTCAGTTTAAAAAGCAATCACATTTTCCATGTTATTTTACTGCCATCTAGTGATAGGATTAAATATTTTTTTTTGTCTTTAAGATCAGTATTTTTATGACTCACCTGTCTAATTATGGCAATGATCGATTGGGTTTGTACACCTTTGTCAATCTGGCCAATTTTGTTCAAAGCTGGACCAACCTAAAGCTGCAGACTCTACCTCCATTTCAATTGGCTCATAAATACTTTGAACTCTTTCCAGAGCAAAAGGACCCACTCTGGCAGGTAAGACATTCACTGCAAGAGTCCTGTCGTTTTACCCGCTATAAATTTTAAATTCAGCATATGTAATCAAATATTATTGATGGAAAGTATATAATGTGTACATGATAAAGAATGAGGTGTTTTCTCTGCTTTATTTTTTATTCCTATTAATGCTGATGTAGTTTTTTTTTCTTTTTTCTTTTTTATTAAAAGTTTTAAATAATTTTCCATACAATATCCCATTTCCCTCCCACCCCTCCCCCCCTTCACTTCCCAGAGCTGGTTACAGGGTTATAAAAACAAAATCATAAATTAAATAACATTACCCAGATATACTACAATCAAATCCCATCCAAACATACTTTAACTCTACAAAATAGATAGATCTTAACACTTTACCAGCAAAATAATAATATAATTAATAATAATATAATTAAACATTATTACTAAAAATAATATAAATTCATCCATAATAANATACTACAATCAAATCCCATCCAAACATACTTTAACTCTACAAAATAGATAGATCTTAACACTTTACCAGCAAAATAATAATATAATTAATAATAATATAATTAAACATTATTACTAAAAATAATATAAATTCATCCATAATAAACTATTAATAATAATCTAAAATTTACTCATAAGCTAAGTAATACTTTTCAATCTCGTATTTTTTCTGAATATAATCAATCCATCTTTTCCAAACCAAAATATATTTTCCTTGAGACTGATCCTTCAAATAAGCGGAAATTTTTGCCATTTCTGCTAAATTAGACACCTTGATTCTCCATTCTTCCATAGTAGGCAAAGAATTCTTCTTCCAATATTGCGCTACCAGTAATCTTGCGGCTGTTATAAGATTCAACATCAAATTCATTTCTTTAGCATCCAAATCTTCCATAATACCTAGCAAAAAAAACTGCGGTGTAAACTTTATCTTTTTCTTTAAAATATTTTGAATATTCCACCAAATCTTAATCCAAAATGCTTTTATATCCCTACACATCCACCAAATATGAAAATAAGTTGCATCTAAACTTCCACGTCTCTTTAACTGCATCAATGTTGATAGTAATAAATAATATTGAAAATATGAAAACATAATATGAAAAAAATGCAATAGTGTTCTATGGTCACATCAGTCAGAATAGAGCTGAAAGGGACCTTGGAGGTCTTCTAGTCCAACCCCCCTGCTCAAGCAGAAAACCCTAGACCAGGGGCCCCACCTTTTGGGCACCAGGGACCGTTTCCATGGAGAGAGGTTTTCTGCAGATCAGAGAGTGCATGGTTTCATGTGCTGCCTGCATCCCACAGATGGGGCTTCGCTTGTTTGTGTAGCCCGATTTCTGGGATGCCACAGACTAGTGCTGGTCTCCTAGCCATTCCAGACAAGTGGCTGTCCACTCTTCTTAAAAGCCTCCAGTGATGGAGCATGCACAATTTCTGAAGGGCAGCTGTTCCACTGGTTAATTGTTCTCACTGTCAGGAAGCGTCTCCTTAATTCCAAGTTGCTTCTCTCCTTAATTAGTTTCCATCTATCGTTTCTTGTCTTACATTTTGGGAAAATAAATTTACACCCCCCTCTTCTTTGTGGCAGCCCCTCAAATACTGGAATATTGCTATCATGTCACCCCTAGTCCTTCTTAACCATAATAAGAAACAATTTGTCTTATACAAAGTATTTGAGCTAGAGAAATCTTCATGAATAAAGCAGTAAAGGTAACTACTGGCATGTATTACTTCGGTCTTCTAAAATATATACAGTCCAGCTACTTTGACATTGCTACTCTTAGATGACTTGGCCAAAAATGGAAGTTCTAACATATCTAAAAGTGCACTTTACAAAAGGCTCTCGAATCTTCTGTTTAAATCAAAGCTTTAAATATTAGATTTTAATATTTAATATCTTAAATATTAAGAAAGTATCATGTAACTCAGTGGGATATTCATGAATAATCATGTAAGAAAGATAATATTAAGCCATAAATTATTCTAGTATCTTAATAAAAATAAGACATGGACTATATTTAGAGTAGAATAAAATAAGCTCATAAATTAATTGTAAAGGAATAGTATTATTAATAGCAATACTCATTTTTCATTTTTCATAGATTAATAAGTTAAGACTTATTTTTCACTAGATGTATTTGGCTTCTGCATTTTCTTCAGTACAGATAAACACTTGATTAGTGTTGCATAGATCAGTGCTAAAAAACTGAAAAACTAATATAAGGTCACTTTTCTCTCAATTTAGAATCCTTGTGATGACAAACGACATAGAGATATCTGGTCTAAAGAAAAAACTTGTGATCGTTTACCAAAATTCCTGGTTATTGGACCACAAAAAACTGGTAAAAGCTTTAGGGTGTGATTCAAGAATAGAAGCATGTGGCCTGGGATCATATGCCAATATCTTTTTCAGATTGTTATAACTCCATCTCTCAAGACATGTAAAGCCAAATTGTTTGGACTTTTTAAATTATTTTTTAAATTGGAATGGGGGCAGCAAACTCTCATTGGATCCCCAATGAATCCTGAAACTCCAATAGATTCTGGTCACGCCCTCTTTGGGGAGTGGCATGCATGGTATGGTTCTTGAAACCATAGCCATGCTGTCACCTGCTTCTCAAGCAAGAGCTATGAGTCTAGGACAGGGGTCGGCCACTTGGACCCATTTCCCAGAGAAAAGAAAACACTGGGAGCCACAAAACCTATGTGCACGCGTGTGCGAGGGGGGGGGGAGAGCTTGATTTAAGAGTTTAATTAAAAAGAAATAGAGGCTGTTGTGCATGTGTTCTTTCTCTCCCTCTCTTTGCCTCCCTCCCTCTCTCTCTCCCCCTCCCTCTCTCCCTCTCTCCGATCTTCTGCTCACCTGGCAAGCTGGCCTCACGCTGTTCTCTGACAAGCTGACACACATTCTTATTGGGCTGGCTCTCTCCTGCCCTTGGTCTGCCAGTCCTCTTCCCCCACTCAGTGTGTGAGAAAGAGAGAGAGAGTGAGAGCATGTATGTATGTGTGAGAGAGAGCTGCTGCTTCCTGCTGAGACGCAGCAAAGGCAGGAGCCCCACCCAATAAGCTTGTCAGCTTGTCTGAGAACAGCGTGAGGCCACTCTCTTTTTTACACAGAGAGAGAGAGAGAGAGAGAGAGAGAGAGCAAGTGCCTGTCTCTGTCTCTCTCTCTGCAAATGGCAGAGGAGGCTGGGAGCCGCAGGAGAAGGCTCAAAGAGCCACATGCAGCTCCCAAGCCGCGAGGTGCCGACCCATGGTCTAGGAGGACCTTCAAATTCTGTACCAGCTCAACCAGAAAGAGAACCTCATCCAGAGTCAAAGATGACATCTTTTCAGGGCCTGGGGTGGAGGCAAAAAGCCAAACTGCTTCAGGGTTGAGTGTTGTCCTTTTGTTTTCATGCCAAACCCAAATGTTTCCTTTTAGTGACTTTGCAATGTTTTAGACAAAAACATTAAAGCAATTCATCTTGATTCCTTTTCCCATGTAGTTGCTGCCTGAATAAAAGTCAAAGAAAGCTGTTTGTTTCTTTGTTTGTTTTTCTTTAAAATACTTTGCTTTGCAAGATTCAATCTGAGTCGGTCACCGCGAACCACAGGTTATAAGTGACCGACCTAGATTGGATCTTGCAACATTATCCTGGGACACATATATTTGCCTTCATACTTTGTTTTGCTTTCTACTTTGTTTTATTTGCTAGTGTAAATGTGATGCTTACTAAAGGAGCTGTTTAACTCTATATGAAATAAGGATCTGATTGACAGAGTGCAGAAGTTTCATCTCAACTCTTGGACTGTTACTCTTTTTGCAGGCACAACGGCGTTATATTTGTTCCTGATTATGCATCCTTCCATCATTAGTAACTCCCCCAGCCCCAAAACCTTTGAGGAGGTACAGTTCTTTAATAGAAATAACTACCACAGGGGGATTGATTGGTAAGATGGGCTACTAGTATGAATCTAAATCATTCTGTATTATGCACAATACAAAAAAACATGCCATATCTAATGTGTGCAACTTAGTATGAACTTTTACAATTCTTCTAAAAATTATGTGCGTATAAGGTAGCAGCAAATATAATTTTTCCTGTTTTTGCTTGGAAATTGGAATCTATATATGCAGTGAATTGCATTAATTGTGCAAGGACTCGAAAATTAATTAAAAAGTCAGCTGCATATTATTGTGATGTAAATGCAAATATCTAAGCAGTCAAAAGTCTGAGTTTCCATTAAAAAAAATGAAACAAACTTTTATTTACTGAAGCAATATATTGAAATAGGAGTGAAAAGTCTGCTACATTTTTCATAGAAATTTCTAAGCACTTCCACAATTTCAAATAAATATTTTCTATATGTACTGCGGTATATGGTATTCCAACTTCATGGGTCAACATCTCATTTCTTTTTAAATGAGCATACTTGAATCTGGCTTAACCAACCCATTTCTTTTTCCTCCTCTCTGAAACTTCCACACCTTCCCCACACAAAATAATGTCCACTGAAATCAGTGCACTTACTTACTGGAAAATGGAAAGTGAGTTATAGCTTAATAATGTTTCAAACAAGTTACTTTTTATTATACCAAGTCCGCTAACATACATAAGTCATATTTCTACAAGTCCCATAAAATGAAAATAGAAAGTGTTACTAAAAAAGATATTTTAAAATTTTCATTTTGAAGACAAACTCTATACCAGTGGTGGCGAACCTATAGCACGGGTGCCAGAGGCGGCACTCGGAGCCCTCTCTGTGGCGTTGCCCCAGCCTTGCCTCCCCCCGCGACCCCCTTCTCTCCAGCAGCCCCCCTGAAGGAGAGTCGCCCTCGAGCGTGGCCCACACGGAGCAGTGCAGCCAAGGACATGGCAGGCAGGCAACGTAGACAAGACTCTGCTCTCACACCCCATCATGCAGTTGATGCTGCAGGGCGCGGGCAGAGGGTATGGCCGCCATAGCGCTGCTGGGCTGCCTGGGTGATCTGCGGCGGGCTCTGGAAGCGGTGAGTGGTCCTGTGGGCAGACAGGGCATATGATTGGGGGCAGAGTGGAGGCAGGGCAGGGGATGGGGTGGGGCAGGGCCAGTTTTTGGGCACTCAGTCTCTAAAAGGTTCGCCACCACTGCTCTATACCATGGACTTTTAACTTTTAACAAGGGTAGTGGCAAAGACAATATGTAAGTACTATTTGAATCAATGCCAAGAGCCCTGAAAACAAATGGCAATTTTGGTTGTATCACTTCACAGCTGTGATATATGTTACGCATTCTAACTAGTTTTGTACGATGTCAAAAATTCCAAGCAGATTTTTATATGATGTAAAAACCCCTTGCTGTTTCTTTGTCATAAAGATGACAGAGTTACTGCTGAATCTGACCAGTTTAAATATAACTCAAACCAAGTCACATCCAGATCTCCTTTTCTAAAGTTAACTTAAGATGTAATGCTTTCTATTTAGAAAATACAATTAGGTAGAGAACTACAAAGTTGAAAAATCACTTGACAATGTTCTATTTATAATTTATAATTATAATATATTTTCACATATATACAAGGTAGCAAAAATGACATGCTTTGCTAGAAAAATAGTTTTAATATGCCCAGCATAACTTTTTCCCCCCATATAATGCTGTACTAAAATATTTTTCATGTTTCGTAGGTATATGGAATTTTTTCCTACACCATCCAATGTAACCACTGATTTTCTCTTTGAGAAGAGTGCTAATTATTTTCATTCTGAAGAAGCCCCTAAACGAGCTGCTTCTTTAATTCCTAAGGCAAAAATCATAACTATTCTCATTGATCCATCAGATCGAGCATATTCCTGGTACCAGGTATAAATTTTAACAAAATGCAACTTCTATGTGTATGCATGATAAATTATGAAGGTTTGCTTCTGTTATTCATTGCGTGCCACAATTATAGTCAGAAGTATGGATCATTATTGGCAAGTCCATAATTGATAGACTTAAAAACTGTCAATGAAAGCTTTTTCATCCCTTCTTTAATTGTAATTCAGATGTTTATTGGGCAGAAAGCCATCTCACTGAGAACTGACTGCTACAATTTAAGAATAAACATATTCAGCAAAAAGAAGTCAAGCAAGAGAAAGCTTTATTGCGAAAACAGAAAATATAACTGTTATTTTGCTAAGATTCTGTCAAACAATAAAATGTCTTATCAAATGAAATAATCAGATTGTTCATTTCCAATTTTTTTATTTATTTTTATTCAAGAGTTGAAATACAAAAAAATAACCAGGATCCATCTTCCGGATTGTTATGCTTAAAAACATTGAAACAAATATTATAAGTATTACATTTTACATACTTTTGCTTCGGTACTCTTTTATACTGGTTCATCTAACCCTTGTTAGTATTAAATCCAGCAAAATGCTTGCTTTGTATTTGGCCTTGAATCAAGAAGGTATAGTAGTTGCGTTGGAAGGTGAATACTCAGAAATGAAGAAGCAGTTGTATATTCTGAACTTGAACTAACTTTGCCTTACAGTTGACATCCGTAAATTTGTTTTTCAGCACCAAAGATTTCATAAAGACCCAGCCGCTCTAAAATTTTCATTTTATCAAGTGATCACGGCAGGACATCATGCTTCACCAGAACTTAAGATCCTGCAGAAGAAATGTCTGATACCAGGATGGTTTGCCATTCACATAGAAAGATGGTTAACTTATTTTCCATCTTATCAGGTAAACAGTATTATGTCTCAAACTGTTCAGAATGTAATGAGTAGGCAGCATTTTTAGTGCTCACAAGTTTTTTGTTTTGTTTTTTTCTGGGCCAGAGCAATAGATTGCCTCAGCAAAACTTCACCTACACATTGTTCTATTAAGTGGTGCCGGCCTGAATTCCAGGGACTGCAGTTATCTAAAGATGGCCCACCCATGCTGCGTCCATTCCCTTTGTTATTCATTTTATTCTATTATGTGGGATATTCATGAATTTGCATCTGAGTGTAGATTGTGCAAAACCTGAATAGTATGCCCTTGTACAACCTGTATATTCCTTGGCCTGACAGACTCAATTTTCCTTCTCTCTTTTAAAGAACACTTTCTGCTTATGTAATCCTTTTGAAATTCTAGCTCAGTGATGGCGAACCTTTTAGAGACCGAGTGCCAAACCGCAACCCAAAACCCATTTATTTATCGCAAAGTGCCAGGGCTGCATCAGCATTGTGATGCCCTCGGGGGGGGGACAGGGAGGTGCCTCTGAGTGCCGCCTCTAGCATGCAAAAACTGGGGACGCAAAAATGGGTCACCGTGCTGCAAGGTGCAAAAACCGCCGCCACCGCACTGCGGGGTGGAGATACAAGGCGCTGCATCACGCAAGAACGGGGCAGGGCTAGTGAGTATCACACAGGCACTAGCCCCGCCCCATCTGCAGTGCAAAATGCTTCCCCCTCCCTTTTCTTCCAGTCCAACAATGGTTGGTGAGCTCTGCTCTACCACCTCTACTCGAGCTTGCTAGTCGGCCGCTTCGCCTCCTTTGTGCTGGGTGGGGCTCCTGCTCCGGGCAGCGGTGGCAGCCTGATGGACCTGCTGCTGGCGGTGGTGCACGTGCCAGCAGAGAGGGCTCTGAGTGCCACCTCTGGAATGCGTGCCATAGGTTCGCCACCACTGTTCTAGCTGTTTCAAGCAGGACCAGCTTAATGAAGTTTCATGTTTTAGGCCACTACTAGCAATTTTTCATTGCTGTCATCCTGTAGCTTCTACCAAAGACAGTATCTGGTTCACACAGTACATATCCCACTGTCTGTTAACTAGGGTAGACTTGAAAATGATACTTGATCCCTCAGCTGTCCCAAATCTTAAGTACAGTTGGTTTAGATACTAGAGAAAGCTGCTCAATCATATTCAAGAAAGTCCAGTTGCCTTTTGAAAAGTACCTTTAGACCAGGGGTAGGCAACCTTGGCTCTTTTATGACTCGTGGAGTTCAACTCCCAGAATTGGCTGGCTCAGGAATTCTGGGAGTTGAAGTCCACGAGTCATAAAAGAGCCAAGGTTGCCTACCCCTGCTTTAGACTCAACCGTATTGCAAAGGGAGTATGTTACAGGCCCAGGCAACTGAGTTTCCCATTATGCCTCTAACAATAAGTGTCCCTTCCATGATTGGTAATCTGTAACTTATTTATTTACTTAGTGTATGGCATCTACAGAGGTCATGCAATCACTGATGTACAAATTCAACTTAAATAAAGCATGAGCAAATATATATATATGTATATATAAAAGATGTGGACAATACAATATATTAAATTAAGATAAAACCATAATGAAATCACTATAATATGGAGCCATAGAATTGCCGTAGGATAGATGTTATAATTCAATATCTAAGGAAGTTAACCATCTAACTGCTTCTGGTATGGTTGCCATGAGATCATCCCAGGTGCCTTGAAATTTCCTGAGGAGACTTTCTTCAACTATATGTGTTCTAGTTGTTCTGGAGCACCACAGTTGCATTGTGGATTCTCGGCCCTCCCCCACTTAAAGAGCTTTGCCTTAGTTCTGGCATGGCCTGTCCTGATTCTATTCAGGTGGCTCCATAGTTTTCAAGACAACTGCATTCCTGGAAATGGATTTGTTGGATCTATGTTATTTGTTTGGTTGTGATTATTAAAAGTTGCCCATCTTAATCACCAATCTTCATCTAGATCGTAAGACTGTGATATGTTATCCCAAATTGGATTCCTAGACTTAAGCCTGGTGAAAGGTAGTGAGTCTAATATTTTTACACATTGGACGATAAGCATATTTTTATAGTTTGCCGTTTTGAAACTTGCATATACATTTTTCAAGGTAAATCTCATTTAATTTCTTACTAATCGATTTGGTTTCTCTGGAAACCTCATTTTATTTCTCAGTCACTAGTGGTATATCAAGCAGTTTCCAATTCAGATCAATTTCATGTAATGAAATCAACATTGATGAAACGTCAAATTATTAAAATTGATGATAAATATGAATGGATTTAAGCCTTATTCAATTTGTATATCCCTTCCTTTCTAAAACTGTACTTCACATATGTAAAAAAATAAGCTTCAAGTTGCTGTTTATAAAATCTTGAATGCAGAATTGATTGTTGGTTTCTTTCTTTCTTTCTTTCTTTCTTTCTTTCTTTCTTTCTTTCTTTCCTTTCTTTCTTTCTTTCTTTCTTTCTTTCTTTCTTTCTTTCTTTCTTTCTTTCTTTCTTTCTTTCTTTCTTTCTTTCTTTGCAGTTACTAATTATTGATGGACAGCAGTTGAGAAATGACCCAGCTATAGTAATGGAAGAAGTGCAGAGGTTTCTGGGAGTTACTCCTCATTATAATTATTCAGAAGCTTTAACGTGAGTTAAGTTGTTGATTTAACATATTATATGCAATTAAATTTTACAGAATAAATAAAGGAATTCATACGATTGTAATTTGGCTTGATAAATCAAAATATGCATAAATATTTTATACCTTCATATAAGCTATGTTTGAATCAGGGAGTCTATAATTAATGCTTATTTTTCTAAGCTAAGAAATTGGGGTTACAAGATTTGGAAGAAAGGGAAAACTATGATTAGAAATATTCTGTTTTACTTCTACAAAAAGAATATAAAAGAGCAATGTACATGGATACACAGACAAAGGAATACACGCCTTGGTCAAATATCCTATTTAAAAGCCATAATATAATTGTTTCTTTATTTCTTCTCTCTAAAACGTTTTTTTAAACCCTTTTTTTCAAAAAGATATACTTCTAACATTTCTCTTGGAAGTACATTCCCAAAGAAACAATTAATATATCAATCAATGAATGATAAATCATTGTGAGTAATAACAAGTATATTATTAATTTGATAATATCAGCATTATATTTTGGGATTTGCTCAAATACTACTCCATTAAACCAGAAGAACGCTAGCAACTATTCACCACCATTGAATTTCCATAAATCTTCCTTTAAAATGAATATAGTGAAGTATTTCAGAGTGGGCAGAAGCTGAGACAAAGGGAGGACTGCATCCGGTGAAACTGGTTCTGCCTTTTAAACTGGCAAATAGAATGATATGCCTTTTTTCCAAATCTTCATTTTTCCACTTACAGCAAAAGATTTTTCATCCCAAAGCAAGAAGAACCAAATCTCATCTTCGTTTCCTTTGACAGAAAAACACAATGCTAGCATCATTCACATGGCATCCAGGGTGCCTGTAATAAATAATTACACACGGAGACCATTTGAACTTAAACCATTTATTCACTTGCCCTTAAAAAGAGATTGATAACCTTGGTCTACATGTCTTTGTATGGGATTTTGATATCTGTTCTCATAAGAAACACTCAGAATAATATGGTGTCCATTCCTAGCTCTGTTTCGTGCCTCTGAGTCAACTCTGCTTTTGTTTGTTTGTTTTTTTGTGGCATGTATAGCAAATTGACTTTAATTACTGAGAGATAAAGTTGATTGTCGGCAAAAAAGAAAATGGATCAAATTCACTTCTAGAGCAGTTCTGTTCAGTTTTCTACTTCTTTTACTTCAGAGCGCTTACCGGTAATCTGAAATACTGTGAATTATTACCAACTGCATCTAAATCAAAGCGCTTATCTTTCTTTCTTGAACAAAACTATTTGTTAAATGTTTTCATTTAAAACAATTTATTTTTTCAAAAGCTCTTATTTCATTCCAGCACTCTTACTTTTTTTGAATTATTTTAGCCTTGGATATTCTTATTTCAGTTTACAAGCTAGCAAATAATCAACCAATTTTGCTGAAACCAATGACACCAATGTGGTGCACGTTTGTTACAAAAATAATCCGTACAATGAGGTAGTGTAAATCTAGAACACGCAGTGATCTCTTAAGCATCCCACTGTTGTGTTTGTGAGGAGGCAGAGACAATGTATTAGTTATTTCTTTCAAGAAATGTGCTGATCATTGACTTAGTACAATATGCAAACCAAGCCAATATTGTATATGATATCAAATCCTATGTTGGCATTGAGCATGATAATTGTTGTTATATATTATCAATAGATTATCAAGATAATTGTTGATACATATGCATAAATGTGAACATTAGGAAAATTTTATGTATCACAACCTGTAAATTATGTATAGAAGATAGAAATACATAAAATCAATCCATGTGTGTGTATTTTAATGCTTTACAATCTAATTTTCTTGACTTGGAAAATCCTGAGAATTAATAACATGGTCTGCCAAACTTTTTGATTAAGAAATCTTAAAATATATTCTCTATAACTTTGTATATATATATATTCTTTATAACTCTGTTACACTGTGCCAAATTGGAAGAATAGTGAGTCAGATTATCAGTCTGTCTTGGCCTTGCAAGAACTTTTTGGCAAAAACATATCCATTCTATCCTGGAAATTCCAGATACCAGATTCCGGATACCATACCTGAAATGTGAAAAATCATATGCTCAATCATTAAGGTGTAGATTTATCTTGTATTTTGTGTCATTTGATTTCTCTTGTGAGCGATAGTCTTTTTCCTGTTCTTCTACTTCCCAGGTGTGGGGAAAATAGCTGATACCAGGAGCATAAAGAAGTCAGGCAAACCATTTTTTGTTCCTTCTGTCAATATATTCTGGACCTCCATTAAAAATATGAATGAGTAGTAACCGTGACCAGGGGGGCGTTTTATCAGGTTCGCCTGATTCACCAGTTGCGGCCTTTTCTGGACCGGGACGCCTTGCGCACAGTCACTCATGCTCTGGTCACCTCCCGCCTGGACTACTGTAATGCTCTCTACATGGGGCTTCCCTTGAGGAGCACCCGGAGGCTCCAGCTAGTCCAAAATGCGGCCACGCGGGCGGTGTT